TCTTTACTGCCCATCAACTTGGTATATCCTTCTATTCCTTAGGTCTGCCTTAATTTCTATCAATAGTGTTTTATAATTTTCAGTGTAGTGGTCTTGCACATCTTTTGGTAGATTTATTACTTAGTTGTTTTATGTTTCTTGACACTTTCGTAAATGGTATCACTTTTTTTACATATCCTTTTCTCTTTGTTTCTAGTGTTTAAAAATATTATTGAAGTTTGCATATTCACCATATCTAGTCACTTTGCTAAATTCAGTTGTTAATTCCCATAATTTGTCCGTGGATTGTTTTGCATTTTCTGTATACACAATCACATTGTCTGCAAAATAATTATATTTTTCTTCCTTTCTTTTCAATCTTTAGACCTTTCGTTTGTTTTTCTTGCCTTGTTGTACGGGCCAGGACCTCCAGTACAATGTTGAATAGAGGTGGTCATTGTGGTCACAAGTGGCATCCTTGTCCTGTTCCTAATCGGGGAGGGGGTGTTAAATATACATTTACTTTAGAAATTTTTTCGCCAGTGGTAGGATTGGTCCTAAAAAGCGAGGCTAACATATTCCCGTCTCACTGAGGTGCCTTTGTAGGGTCCGTTGTAAGAAGGAAATGGAATCAGATGCAAAATGCCCAGAAGAAGTCTGGCCATGGAGTAGATAGGTGCTTACCAGATTGTGCCTAACTAGGTCTTTCTTTGTACATTTCCAATACAAAAAATTTCACATCTACTCCAAGGATTGCTTGATTGACTTAGAAAACGTTCTTATGGTTCGGAAAGACTTGTTTAAGGCAAGTCGGACCCCTGTGTTTCGCAGCAGCTACTGCAGAGTTTAGTTTAGCAGCCTGTCCCCAGCTGTTACTAGGGACCACTTAAAAATACTCTCGTTTCCCCCAATTTTAGTAAAATTTCCTAACACAGCAATGTCTCATTTTCCCATCAGTCCCCTATTGTAATCGCATCTCCAGACCTCCTCCGGCCCCGGGGGAGGGCGTGTAAGCAACAGAAAGTTTTCCAAGTTGTGTGTATCGTTTCAAACCTTCAGCGTCCAGGGAGGGAAGAGCCAACAGGATCCAGAGGTAAAGCCTACAGGTGACTTCACTGTCCCGAACTTAGTGACGTTCAGGAAAAGAGCTGTGTTTTTCTTTCCAGGGCTGTTCTGCAGCCAGCAGAGAGCCCATGCCCAGAGCTCTCATGACAGCTGCAGGCTGTTTTCAACACCAATCTTGCCACCCCCGGTACCCGAAAAGTCCTTTCCTCTCTGCCAGCGGAACGCACGTCTGTACTTCCTGTGGAGGGGCAAGGACGGGTGCATGCAGAAGAGCCATGTGGCCCAGGGTGTCATTCCCCTACCCCTTCCTTCCCTGCCCAGCTGGCTGCCTCACCCAGAGTGTCTGATCCTGGGGACAAGGAACGGGGGACTCCTGCCTGCAGAGCCGTGAGCTTGCAGGTTTCCTTCTGGGCAGGGCAGGAAGCTGGCTAGAGCCGGCCACCGGGGCAGGGCAAGCTCCGAGCTCCTTTCTGTAAACGGTGCACTGTGAACGCACGTTCACGCTCTCTCACCGTCTCTGTCAAGTTACACCGTCTGCTGGTTGCGAGCCCCGCCCCCCCAATTCCCATGTCGGAGACAAACAGTTCAGGGTGGGTCAGCGTGGCCAGAGCACCCCGAGTCGGAGCCTGTGGACCCAGCTGTGGTTTCTTCGGGAGGCAGCAGGGGCTGTTTCAGGATCTCTCCCAGTGCATTATCCTCTTAAGATGGTGGAGAGTGATGATTTTGCTTCTGAGTCTGGGGCCTCCCTGTGTATTAGCGAATGTTGAGTGGCAAGGCGGGTGACGTGCGTGTCCTTGCGTGGGAACAAGACGACTCCCTACGTGTGTCCTGAGGTGGGAACGGGGCAGGGCGGTCCTGTGTGTGTCCTCGGGGGAGCCCAGCAGCCCCTCTGGGTTGCCGTTTCCAGACCCCTGCTTTCATTCCCCTGCTGGGTGTGTTTCTGCTTTTTCGCCAGAGAGCAGATATACAACGGGGAAATGGGGAGCCCCACATCGCCGCAGGGCTACCGTGGGCCAAGCTCCTGGAAGAGGCCATGCCGTGCACCACTGGGACATGTGACGTCTTTGGAGGGGCGTGGGTAGGTTCTGTGAGTGCTTCTACCTGCGCTCTGCCCAAGTGGCCCCCTCCTGTCACCGCCACCAGGAAGCCAGATGGGAGGTTCTGTTCCTGGTCGGGCAGATCCGCCCAGTTTGGGGCTGTGCCAGGACGCACGGTCTCATGATGGTGACACTGGAAGACAATGTCAGTCAGGAGACCATGACTGTCCCTGTAGGCTCTCTGGAAGCCACCACCTCCTCAGAGTGACTCACTGGGGACGCGGGGCTGGCGGTTCGTCTCCGGCAGGCTCGTCAGGACAGGATGGGGACCGGCCCCGCAGCTCCACATGCAAGTCTCCCGCCCCCCGGGGGGAGCCAGGAGGTCACAGCAAGTGAGGGGGCTGTGAATGCTTATGGGCTTTACTTTAAGAAAGGTTTTAAAAATAAAGAAAAGTATAAAGAATAATCTGACACCTGGGGACCTATCTCCCAGGGTTGACATAAAGTTTTTTTTATCATATTTATTTAGAGTTAAAAAAAAAATGAGTAAAACATTGTATAAAACTATATATAAAATGTAGGGGCCAGCCCTGTGGTGCAGCGGTTAAGTTCGCACTTTCTGCTTCGGCAGCCTGGGATTCGCTGGTTCGGATCCCGGGTGCGGACATGGCACCGCTTGGCACGCCATGCTGTGGTAGGCGTCCCACGTATAAAATAGAGGAAGATGGGCACAGATGTTAGCTCAGGGCCAGTCTTCCTTAGCAAAAAGAGGAGGATTGGCAGCAGATGCTAATCTCAGGGCTAATCTTCCTCAAAAGAAGTAAATAAATAAAATGCATTCTCTTCTATGTAGGACGTGGTATTGCATATATTCTATTAGATGTATTATATTAGATGTATTTATTCTATTAGATGTATTAATGCATTATATTATGTACCTTCCCAGGGTCATTCCTCCCCACCTGGAAGACAGTCGTTTCTTGAATTTGCTGTGCGCGTTTTCTATCCATCTGTGAAAATAGCTTCACGTGCACACATATACACCCGTGAGCAGTACACGGTGGTGTTCGACGTGCTGTTTTAAGCGTATAAACAGGAGGCCTTGCACTTTACTCTCTGCCTCTCCGTCCACCGCTGGGCACACGCTTGGCCCCTGCTTTCCCCCGCAGCATCTTCGTCCTATGAACGAATAGTCCCCACGGGGGGTTGTGTGGGGTCGGTGGCCATCCTTGCACGGGTGTCCACGTGTGTGTGAGGGTCCACACGGCTGTGCGCCAGCAGGGTGCTCGGGATCATGCCTGCATGCTGGCCCTGCCGGCCAGGCCAGTGTGGGCAGCCCCGGCCGAGGGTGGTCCTGAGTGTGGTGAGGACACTGTTTTAGACAGCGGGGTCAGAGAACCCGGCCCTGGGGGCTGGGAGGGGTCATCTGCCGGTGGTGTGGGGCCACACCTAGAGGAGTGGGGTCCGGTTCGCTGTGAGCTCCATCCACATGGGCTGCAGCCCCCGAGGACGCTGGCCCCCATCACTTGAGCCCCATCGGGGGTCTCTGGAAGCCCCTGGGAGTCCACGAGGAAAGGGCACCCTCTGGGGCTCTGCCGGTGTCCCAGGAGCCCAGGACTTGGGGACGGCGGCTCTGAGGCGCATCTCCTGCAGCCGCGGCCGAGATGAGGAGGAGCCTGGGGGTTGGAGCAGCATTTGGACTGGCTTTGAATGTTCTTCTCTCCGATGTGGCCCTGTGGTTGTGCAGTGATGCTGCAGCCGGGGCTCTGCCATTCGTAGGGCAGTGTGTGGGACACGGCCAGCTGGGGCTGGCTTCTGCCTCCCTCACCCCCTGCTCCCCGCCCCCCTCCCCCTACCCCCCCTCCCCCCCACCCCGGCTCTCTGTCTGCCAGTCGCTGGCTGGCTCTGCAGCGGCGGCGGCGGGAGCAGCCTCGCACTGCGGTGGGCCGGCCTCACCTCCCGCAGCCCCGGCCCCGCAGGCTGCAGCGAGCTGGCCTGCTCCGGGAGGGCGGGCTGGTCTCCTCGGGTAAGGCAGCCCTGCCCCGGCCCCAGCGCCTCGCGCCCTTCGCGTCCTCGGGCTTTGTCTGGCTTCCTTTGGAGGGGGTGTAGGAAGGGAAGCTGCAGATGGGGGCAGATGGAGGCCGCGTCGGGGGACTGGCTGAGGGCTCAGAAAGAAAGGCCTGGGTTCAGTGGGGGAATGGGGACAGTGAGGGGAGACTGGCGCTCACGGGCTCCATGTGGCTTCCCAGCTTCCCAGCAGCGTTAGTTTAAAGAGCGCTTCCTGGTGTGCGCGACTAAGTCCTTCACGTGGTGTGTTTGTGTGTGCACGTGTGCGTGTGTGCACTTGTGTGTGTGCATGGGCTTGAGTGTGTGTGCACACTCTGACCTGGCCGTGTCTCAGGCAGGCTCGGAGACCAGCCAGCTCAGTGGGCCCGGGTGACATGGGCAAGTTGACTGCTTCCTCCTCATAAAATAGGGGAGGAGGATGGATGGTTCTCATCTCACCTGATCACAGCATGCACGCACGCACATGCATGCACACACGCACGCATACGTGCACAGGTGGGCTGGCAGGACGGGACAGGTGGCTGGGCAGGGCTTTGGGGTGGTGCGGCCACATGGAAGCCCCCCGCACGGTGACCCGGCAGGAGTCCCTGCCTCACCTGAGGGGAGGGCCGAGATGCTGGGTGTGCCACAGGGCTCCTGTAGGGGCCTCGGGTGTGGACAGCCCAGCTATCTGGCTCTTCAGGGGGAGCCTGGCCTTGTGAGGATGTGGTCAGTCCTGCGGCCTCCTCCAGCCCTGCTGGACAGAATGGGGCCTGCTGTTGGGAGCAGTGGCTTCCTGAGATCTGAAGTCAGAAGGGCCTGGAGGTGGCCTCAGCCAGGCTCTGACCCTCCCCTGTGTGGCTTCTGTTTCAGGCATCAACGCCCAGGCCCGGAGGCTGCAGCGGAGCCGCGCCAAGGGGACCCCGACCCTGGTCCCGGGGGGCGCACGGAGCCCCCCTCCACCCCGGCTGCGCCGCACGGTCAGTGAGACCAGCCTGAGCCAGGCCGCCGCCCAGGGCTCTGAGGAGCCAGGCCAGGACGCCATGCGCTACTCGCTCTATGAGTCGCCCCACCTGCTTCTCCTGCAGGGTTACAGCCAGCAGCATGTGAGCTCCCTCACCCCCCGCCGCCTCCTGCAGGGGTCCTGGGCTCAGCCGCTGCCAGCTCCTGCTCTGATGATGGGGCTGTAGAAACGGGGCGGCTGGGGACCACCACAGTGGGCCCCTCCTAGTCTCTGGGAGGGTGAGGGCTTCCCCTGCTGTCTGCTTCCAGAGCATTCCTGTGTTCAGGGCTCAGTGGGAGGCAGCAAGGTGTGTGCCGAGGACCTCCCAGCTCCTGACTTAGGAGCCCAGTGTTTGCCTGTCCCCAGATCCCTTCTGGAAGAGTTGTCCCCGCCTCCCAGACGGTGCCTCAGGCCACTTCCTGCCGGGGCTCTGGGGAGGGACCTGGGCAGGTGCCAGGGCACAGGCCTCAGTCTCTTCCAGGTGGCTGGCCGCCCAGGGAGTGGCTCAGTGGGCTCAGCCTCGAGCGGGTGCAGGACACCTTCTCAGGAGGTACAGAAGGCGGCCGCCTGGCCCTCCCCGAGCCCGCATTTCTTATGGCTTTTGTTGGAACGAAGACCCACGTCTTGGCTGGAAGGGTCTGACCCTTAGCAGCCGGCTGTGTGGCCGCCGCGTCGAAGCCTGCTCCTCCCCGTTCTCCGTTCCCTCCTGTTCTCAGAGCTCCCTCAGGGCACACTTGGCGACATTAGGCCTCCTGGCGCTCAGTTCTTGGGGGCACTTTCCTAGCTCCCTTGGAGCAGCGGGGGAGGGGCTTGCACACAGCCTGACGTGGGTCATGGGGTGGGGGCGGGCCACGCTCGGCCCGTGTCAAGATGCCCTCGTTTGGCCTCTCGTCTCTGAATGCTGGAGTCGGCCCTGGGTCTCTGGTGTGCCGCCGAGGCTGCCCTGGGAAACCTCCTCGGACAGGGCGGGTGCCCAGTGTGGGGCAGGCTGGGGGCCAGCAGCAGGACACCGGGGGCCGGGGACAGCGGGCCCAGCACACAGCTAGGTGCCGAGGACTGGGACACCTGTTCTTTTCTTCTCACTGACTGAACTGCCAGGGTGCTGTCCTGCCCCTGATGTCTGGTGTCTGTGTTTCAGGACAGCCTGGTGTACGTGCTCAACCGGGAGCGGCACACAGTAGGCCAGAGGACCCCCTCCAGCAAGCCCAGCATCAGCCTGTCGGCCCCCGACATCCTGCCCCTGCACTGCACCATCCGCAGGCGCCAGCCTGCGGGCCGAGAGCAGGCGGGGGCCCGGCTGGTCCTGGAGCCCATCCCGGGGGCGCCCGTCTCCGTCAACTTCTCAGAGCTGGGGGGCCGGACCGTGGCGCTGCGCCACGGGGACCTGCTCTCCCTGGGCCTCTACTACCTGCTGCTGTTCAAGGACCCGGCACAGGCCCAGCCCCTGCCCGCCCAGGCCCTGGCCCGCCTCCGGGCCGGGCCGCCCAGCTGCCGGCTGTGTGGTGCTGTGCTGCGGGCCCGGGGCGCCTCGGGGGCTGCGCGGGCCGCCCTCCCCCGGCCGAGGCAGCTGCACCTGGAGTTCGAGCCCGAGGTGGAGGACACGCTGCTGCAGCGGATCATGACGCTGATCGAGCCCGGCGGCGATGACCACAAGCTGACCCCCGCTTTCCTCCTCTGCCTCTGCATCCAGCACTCGGCCACCCGCCTCGAGCCAGGCTCGTTCGGGCAGCTCCTGCTCAAGATAGCGAAGTCGATCCGAGAGACAGTCTGGGTCAGTCGCAGGGGTGGGGCAGTTCCACTGTCCGGGGTCCTTGGCCATGGGAGGAGTTGGGTGGCAGCTGCGGCAGCCAGGGTGGAGGTCGTGAGTCCCTCCTCTGACCGAGGGCCAGCCTTCCCTGCCTGTCCACGCCTCCCAGCCCGTCGGGCAAGCAGGGGGAGCGGGACCACTCAGGGGTCTGCTGTGGTGCTTTGCCTTGTGGGGTCGGCCGTGGGTGGCTGCATGAGCTCTGGCCCTGTGTCCCTCCCCGTGGCCCGGCCTGGCCCAGCGTCTCCACGCGCCCGGTAACAAGGTGCCCTGGAGCCCTGAGCCCCCATCTAGCCTGTGTACACCGTCCTTTCTGCTGGGAACAGGCTGAGCCGCTGCCAACACCCCATTGTCGACTTGGTGAGGGCGCCGGACGGGTGGACTTTTGTATGTTGTAAAGCTTCTCTCCAGGATGGTTTCTAGACCTTGGCACCTGGCATATTTTGGGCAGAATTCCTCCTGTCGTGCCGCCGTGTGCACGGTAGGATGTTGAGCAGCATCCCTGGCCTCACCCACTGCGTGCCAGGAGGACCCCCCTCCCCTCACAGAAATGGCTCTGGGCACTGCCAGACCTCCCCCGGGGGCCAGAGCAGCCCGGGCACAGACAGCTTGTTCGGCAGGGCGAGGGTGGGAGTGAGGCCGCCTGGGCCCTGCACTCACGGCCCCTGCCCCTCTCCTGCCCCTCCAGTGATGGACTCCCCGGGGTCCTAGAGGATGGCTTCTGATTGCACACAGTCCTTCAGAGACCCCTGTTAATCTTGGTCCTGCTTACCCCGGGGCAGACCTGGGAAGAGGAAACCATTTGGCTGTGTGGAAACCAGATAGATTCCTCAGATTAAAACCCACATTGAAAATGTTTGAAACTTTTTAAAAGCAAAAGCCAACGTGGGCTGTCACTCCAAAGGTTTGTACAAGCGATCCATGTGCATTGTGGGTTTCCGAGCCGTGTCTCCCTGTGTCCTGCATGGGATTTGATGTTAGTGTCCCCGCGGTGTGGTCCCTGCCCCTCCGTGCAGTCGTGCGCACGGGCAGGTGGAGTCGGTGCAGGGTGGCAGCTGCCCACAGCAGGGCCTGGGGCGACCGAGCCCTGACGTTAGGGGCTGTGAGTTTCCACGTGGATCTGGCCCTTTCCTGAGTCTGCTCGGGGCCGGATGCTTCCTAGTAAGTCAGGCACTGTTTGATTTAACTCCCACACAACCCTGACGATGTGGGGCTGCATCCCGCGTCACGGCTGAGGCCGCTGAGGGTGCAGGAGACTCGTGAAGGAGCATTCTATGAACTGCAGGGCAATGTGTGCGTCTTGGAAGAAGAAGCGACAGTCAGCAGTGAGGCCACACTTCCCAGATGACACCTTGCTACTGAAGCAAGAATCGTTGCTTGATTACAAGTGACAGAAAATGTGGGCTAAACCTGAATCCCTGTGGGGACGTTTAAATATGTTTGTAAATCCTCAAGCTCGTATTCCTCTCCTCGTGAGCACTGTGGCTGACACTTAAAGGTGTATGGATGCAGCTGCCCAATGGAGCGTCCCTGGGATCTTCGTTCTGCTCTCTGTAAAGCGTGTGGCCTGTCGTCACCCTTCTGAAACGGCCGGTTGTTGTGTGAGCTGGATGGTCGTGAAATATTTCTGTCGTAGGAAATACGTAGGTCGTATTCAGTAATGGAACGGGAAGATGTTGAACCAGATGGAAGCATGCTCTTTCCAGCATGGCTTAGAGTAAACAGCACAGGGCGGGGTGGCTGGTGCAACGGGCTGTGTGTCTCTGTGGATGGTGTAGCGTGTACTTGGTGGTGTTCTCTTTGCACATAACCCGGGGTATCCTGTTTTTCTCATGCTTGCTTTTTTTTCTTTATAATTGTAGGAGAAGACCAAAGAACTGGCGGAGAAGCAGGCGCACCTGTGAGTACGGCCCGGCTGCTGCCCCCGCCTGCCCCTTAGGCAGCTGGTTCCCTGTCGACCTGCCCTCCCCTGCGGAGCCAAGACCCAGGGGGTCCCCCAGGTGCCTCCGGGGTCAGCTCTGCGCCTCTGCCACACCCTCCTTCCGTCTCAGAGGGCGTTTCCACTTCTTTAGTCCCCCGCCCCTGGGAAGCTCTGGTCTGGGAGACGTCTCAGGGCGCCCGTGGCCTGGGTGGGAGCCTCTGCACTGCCCCTGGCTCCCTGCTTCTCCAGGGCATGTCCAGCTCCCCATTTTGAGAGACGGCAGCACATCTCAGTCTCCAACGTCCATTTCTATAAAAAGCACTATTTCTACCCTTACACACTGCTCGTGGGACTTGGGAGAACTATTCGGCGTTAACAATAAGGACGTGCACGTCCTGGGACCCAACAGGCCCGCTCCCGAGGGGACGCCACAGGGAAACGCCTTCACACAGAGGGCGGGACACGTGCGTTCCAGGCCTTGTTTGTACTCTCACAGGCTGGGAGCACCCACGAGTCCGTGGCAGGGGAGGTGCAGTGTGTGGGTGCAGGGGACACGGCAACCGTGACAGCGAAGGAACTGCTGCCACATGCTTCACACGTGTAGACACGTGTGTAAAGTCCAGCTAAGCCCTCTGTATAAGAACATACGAATGTGGTGCTGACCCCAGGCTGAGCTGAGGGCAAGGGGGTGGCCACTGCCCATAATCGGGGAAGGACACGTGGGGCCTCAAGGCCCCCACGGTGCACAGAGCTTTGCTTTTCATCCCTGTGTATCCTCGCATGGGAAGGCAGGCCATTCATAAAGCACGCTGCTGCCTGTGTGCTTCTTAGACGGCCGCCACGGTCCTGTAAGGAGGGGTCAGGAGGAGGTGTCCTCACCTCCCGCTTTTGCAGAAAGGAGCTAAAGGCGTGGAGAGGGAGATGGAAGGCTGGTCAGGGGCAGCGAAGCTGTGGAGTCACTCCCCACCGCCCCCCGGCCCCCCCCAGGCTGGAGGCTGAGCCCAGAATTCCCGTCACTCCCGTGTGCGCTCCCTGGCTCCTATTGACATCAGCACAGCCGAGTGACCTCGAGTACCTGTGCGCTGACGGGTGACAGGGCTCTGAGGCTGGGGCTGTGCGGGGAGACCAGGCTCTGCCACCGTCGCGGGGCGCAACAGAGGCCCCCGGGGGACGCTGCCTCGGAGGGTGATGAGTGGCTTGTCCATGTGGGGCAAATGGCAGAGGCGTGAGCACGTGGAGTCCTATACCTCTGGGTTTTCTGAGTGAGGGGACGTTTAATGAGGGAGTGGCCTCGGGGCCCAGCGACAGGTGAGGGGCTTTCCCTGCCCGGGCTTGGCTCAGGGACAGCCGGGGTTCCAGGGTCGAGGTGGGGTGTGGAGGCGATGGAGCTGGGTCTTGCAGGCGCACCCGGCCCTCCGCCTCCCGTCCAGTGCCCGTCTGCCGGGGGCGCTGCTGGGCCCTTTTGCGCTGCGGTCCCACGGACGGGAGGAACCTAGTCTTCCCTTCTGCGACTCATGCTCATACTGTGTTTTCCAGACACACAGGCAGCCCCATGTCCATCCCCAGTGAGCACTCTTTTCCCCCCCTTTTTAAAGATAATGGATCACTTCCACAATACAGAAAAGTACAGAATAGATCAGTTACCCACGAGCCCACACCTGAGTTTCACACTGTTGCCATGGTGACTCCTTTCCTTCCCATCGTTGGGTCGTGTGCTTCTCTTTGTGAGTGGCTGTTGGAGTTTGCCAACGCTTTTACCGCATCTGTGATCGTCACGCGTTTTCTCCCTTGAATCTGTGAACATGGGTCCCACATTAGGAGGTTTTCTGAGCCGTGGTTGAATTCCTGGAACCCTTCTTGACCCTTCATGACCATCGATTTTTTTTTTAGCATCGCAGGATATGGTTTGTTGGTATTTTAACTAGGATTTTCCCACCTGCGTTCATAGGTAAAGTTGATCTGAGTGTCTTTCTTGTGTTGCCCTTGTCTGATTTTAATCATGAGGTTCACAGAAAGTGAACGGGCAGATTTCTCTGCGTTCATTTCTCTGAATCAGCGTGTCCGTGGTGAGGACGCGGCTCAGAGCTCTGCCCGGAGGAGTGGGGACAGGCCTGGGCTGTGCCCGTTGGGCTCGGAGACTGTTTCCTGGCTCCATTTCTTTAAGGATTATTGATTTAGTTTTCTCTTTCGCCTTAAGTTGATTTTGGTAATTTTTGCTTTCCTAGAAAATTATCTGTTACATATGTTTTCAAAGTCATTAGAATAAAACTGTTCGTTATAATCTCTTACGACTTTTTCATCCCTAATATAGTTGTAGTAATATCCTCCTATTTAACCTATTGTGTTGCTATCTTTTCTCTTTTCCTTCTCCTTTGATTTATTTTGCCAGGCGTTTGTCTGTTTTATCTGTTTAAAAGAACCGATTTTGCTGTTTCTGTTTACTGTTTCTTTGGCTTCTATTCCATTAAGCTCTTTATTATTTCCTTATTCTTGCATATTTCGTATTTTAATTTCTTCTTTGATTCATGAATTGTTTTGAAAGTTTTTTGAATTTTTCATTTTCGTTTAATTTTGATTAGCAAAAATGCATTTGACTTTGTTTTCAGTAATAATGTCTCTGCTATATGCTTCCCCAGTGGGTTTTCTAAAAAAACAATTTACATCAGAGCATCATTGATTTGATTTGTTTCATTTTTATTTATTTTATCGTGATAAGAACACTTCACGTGAGAACCACTCTCAACGGATCTCTAAGGGCACAATGCAGCGTCGTTAACCGTGGGCATGGTGGTGTAGAGCAGACCTCTAGAACTTATCCATCCTGCGTAATTGAAACTTTATGCTCATTGATTAGCAATTTCCCATTTCTCCCTACCCCCGCCCCTGGTAACCACCATTCTGCCCTCTGATTCCATAAGGTTGACAATTTTGGATACCTCATATAAGTGACATCATGCAACATTCGTCCTTCTTGATGGTCTCATTTCGCTTAGTGTAATGTCTTTGAGGTTCATCCACATTGTTGCATATGCAGGATTTCCTTCTTTTTTGAAGGCTGAATAATATTCCATTGTATCGTATACCACATATTCTTTACCCCTTCATTCATTGATGGACATCACTGATGGGTGAACTGTGGGTGCTAATGTCTCTTGGAGATCCTGATTTCAGTCCTTTTGAAGAAATACCCAGAAGTGGAATTGCTGGATCATAATGTTGTTCTATATTTAGTTTTTTGAGGACCCGCCATACTGTTTTCCATAGTGGCTGCCCCAATTTAACATTCCCCCCAACAGTGTACAAGGGTCCCCTTTTCTCCGCATCCTCGCCGACACTTGTTATCCCTTGTCTTTTTGATGATAGTCATTCCAACCGACTGTGAGGCGATACCTCACTGTGGATTTGATTTGCGTTTCCCTGGTGACGAGTGATGTTGAGCATCTTTTCATGTGCCTGTTGGCCATCTGTGTGTCTTCTTTGGAGAGATGTCTGTTTAAGTCTCTAAGTTATTTTTAATTGGGTTATTAGTTTTTTTGCTTTTGAGTTGTAGGTGCTCCTCATATATTTCGCCTATTAACCCCTTATCTGATAGATGGTTTGCACATATTTCTCCCATCCCCAAGTTGCTTTTTCACTCCGTTGATGGTTTCCTTTGCTGTGTGGAAGCTTTTTAGTCTGACACAGTCCTACTTGTCTGTTTTTTCTTCTGTTGCCTGTGCCTTTGGTGTCATATCTGTGAAATCACTCTCTCTACTTGGTGTTCATCTGAAGGCGTGGGACGGGCCCCAGAGCTGTGGCCGGGGTTGCCAGGCCGCGTGCACTTGACACTGACCTCTCTGAGGTGTGACACCAAAACTCCAGTTGGTGATGCCTGGGGGTTCTTTTCCAGTAGAGGCCTGTCTGTGCCTTCGAGTTCTGGGTGAAACTGAGAAGGGCAATGAATGTCGAAAACAAAATGAAATTAGGCTCTGAAGGCCAGATCGATGCTTTTTAATGACCTAAAACTCTTTATGCTCATGTGCGTACATGTGTGTAATTCAAACTAGAGTGGAGAGCGGGAAGGGAACAGGGCTCAGAGCTCTGCTGATGGGCAGGTGCTGTGGTGGCTGACCGACCGAGTGATGGAAACCGGGAGCTGCAATCGGGTACCACTTCCTTCCCTCCCCGGGAGCAGGACAGAGAGAGGGCACATTGTTTGTCGACAAAAGTGAAGTTACATCAGAGAGAGCAACACTGCAGTCTCAAGAGGAGCGGGAGGACTGGAGCCTCAGGTCCGCTCGGCCCATGCGGGCTGCCCAGCAGGGGATGGTCACGGTGGGGGACGAGGCCTCAGCAGGGGATGGACACGGTGGGGGATGAGGCCTCAGCAGGGGATGGACATGGGGGGACGAGGCCTCAGCAGGCGACGGACACGGGCAGTGCCTGGCAGTGGGAGCTCTTTCTGTGGCCCCTGGTGGCTCTTCCTGCTCAGGTATGTGGCTGCGCCTCTGGCCGTCAGGTGTCAAGCAGGGTGGGTGTCTGTATCTGGTTTCCCAGCCTGACGTTGGCAGGTTGACAAATCGTAGTGGCTTTTGTTAGTTATTGAAACTACCGTCTTCCTGTGCAGAGCAGCAGATTCGGCCTCCCGCGGTGACGGGGCCCCTCCGAGCGTAACCTCAGCCCCTCTCTCTCTCGGCAGCCAGGAGCCCCTGTCGCTGGCCGGCGTCAGCATGGCGGGCCTCGTGCCAGACCTGCAGCACATCCTCTTCTGGATGTCCAACTCCGTCGAGCTCCTGTTCTTCATACAGCAGCAGTGCCCGCTCTACATGCAGAGCCTGGAGGAGGAGCTGGATGTCACGGGTACGGCTGCTGCGCTCCCGGGGGGCGGAGTGAGCGGGCTGGGCGTGGCGTCGCCTCACCGTCTCAGGGTCGGGTCGGACGCCAGAACAGAGGTGGATTTGTGTCGGGGCTTGCTCTGAGAGGGAGGAGACGCTGATGGCTGGGCTAGTCTGGCCCCTTTGTCCTTGTCCTTCTGTGCACTTGGTGCAGCTGCCCTGTGTCCTGCTGGGGGAGGCCGGGGGACACAGGGCACCACTGGGCACCGTAGAGAGGGCGGCGCGTCGGCCCTCAGCCACCACCATTCACGATGCACCACTGTTTCAGAAAGCAAGCACGCTCCCCAGGAGAGTTGTAAAATTGTGTGATGCTTGTTGCCATCAGAGACTAAAAGGAGGGCAAATGTGCATCTTAGAATTTATGGAATACAGTGTGGATGCTGAAAACACTAAGTTGAAAGAGTGAGTCTGACGGGGGCAGTCTGGGAGGGCTTCATGAAGAAGGTGGCATCTGGCCCCCGGTGGTATTCAGCTGGTGTGTGTCTCACGAGGGCTGTGCGGGGGCTGCAGAGGCGGGCTGGGTCCTGGAACGGAGCCCGGAAGGAGCGGCAGGACCGTCCCGCGGTAGGACAGTGTGTGACAGCCAGGCACCCAGCGGCTGGGCCACAGACTCACATGGTTGAGCTTGGTTTTGTCCCACATCCCCGCGCTCTGCTGTGGCAAAACCAAAGCTGCTCACTTCCCTCCCTCCCGTTTGTGGGCCCCGGCCCGTCCCCGGCCTGACCCCGGCCTGCCCCAGAAGCGTAGGGGACCCCGAGCAGGCGGGGCTGGGCGGCCCGGCTTGGAGGCCCCAGCTACAGCGGGAGGCTGCCCTCGGAGCCGGGAGGGAAGCCAGGAGGGCGGGGGCAGGGCTGCTGGACACTGTGCAGCGTCTCTGTGTGCTCAGCCGTGTCTCCCGGGAGGTGGCCATGGGCTCCGTGTGAAAGAGCCCGCGAGAGCGACGTCAGGAGGAGGCCCTGGACCTCGCCTGCTCGGCTGGGACCTGCTGGGGCCCCGACGGCGAAGGGCTGGATTTCCTGCGAGGGGGGCTCTTGGCGGCCGGTGGGAGGGGCGGTGGTCTGCACCGTGTGGACTGTCCTGCTGTGTGCTTCAGGAGGCCTGTGCCCGCTTGGTCCCTGGGGAGCCCAGCTGAGCCGGCCCTGTGGGGTCCAAGCCGGGTCGAGGGATTGCAGGGTGAGGGAGCGGAGCCAGCCGGTCTCCCTACTTTCCTCTTGTCGTTGTGGCTTCTTGGCATCTCCTTATCCCCACCCCACAGTGGAGGCCGGTGGGAACTCTTGGGCTCCCGGGCCCGGAATCTGGGCTTCCGTGGATATGTGGAGGGCAGCTTTGATCCCTCAGCATCCGGGGGCATTCCAGGCCCGCTGGCCTATTGCCTCTGTCCCTTGTTGTGAAAGGCGCCTGATGAGACCTCCCAGGGTGGGGCAGCTGCTTTCTCTGTCCGGGAGGCCTGGGGCCGAAGCAGACCTGTTGTCTGGCTTTTTCCCCCGAAGGTCACATAAACGACTGCATGTGCACGCGTCTCGTCTCCGAAGCCAAGGCCCCTCCAGCCGTGGGCCCGCCCTGCGCGGGGCGCTCTGGGGTCCAGGCAGGCAGCTCAGTGCCCCGCTGCCTGCGAGGCCCTCATCACCTCTCTCCAGCCCGCTTGTCCCCTCGGAGGTCCCAGCCGCCCAGGACCCACGTTGCGGGCGCCCCAGTGGCTCCGAGTGGAGGAGACTTCTGCACTTGGCATTGGCCAGCGAGCACCTGGGCCTCTGGCTTGTCTCCCAGTGCATGTTGTCCCTCCGTGCGGGATGTCAGGAGGTCAGGGGTGTGGGTGGGGAGGCCCGTTTACTTTGGGTCCAGCAGAAAGTCAGCTGGGAGAACCGACCGCCCCGTGACTTTTGGGCAAGTCCTGCTGACGCCCCTTCTCATCTGGGCTTATTTCGGATGCATATCGAGAGGTTGTGGTCCCGAGACCCCACTGAGTTAGGGCATCCGTCCTACACAGGGACCTTGTGTTTGGCTGGTTTCCGTGGGAAAAGCCGCTTGGGGTTGGTGGGGCTCCGCTTCCTTAGCTGCTGCCTCTGCTCCTGGGAGGAAGTTATTTTTGGGCCCGGGCCGGGATGCCGTTGGGGCCCAGTCGGTGCTGGGAGGGTGAGCGCGTGGACGCCTGGTCCTGCCACTGCCCACCCTGGGACCACGCGGCTGGGCCACCACGCAGGACCTGAGCGTCCCAGCAACCATGCCCTGTGCCGTGCAGGCGCTAGAGAGCGCAGAGGAAAAGCAGCATCAGCGGAGGGCGAAGGGGAGGTTAGGGGAGGCGTTTTGGCCTCCTGACCCTCAGCAGGAAATCTCTGTGGGAAGAATTCTAAAAACAGAGATTTCATGTCCTGAAAGCTGGAAAAATCGCGTTTTCATTCCCCAAACAACCTTTTTTGTCCGAGCTCTGATCCAGGAGGCCTCGTCTGCACGGGCAGATGAGAGATCAGCCCATATAAGGGAGGGTGTTTGTTTTATCCGTTCACAACTCCCCTGTCGGTCTTCGAGGCCCTGCCTCTGTGCCTGCAGGCTTGGGGGGGTGGGTTCCTCGGGTGCCTGAGGGGCAGCTCCGTCCTGGGGCCTTGGGAGCAAGTAACGGAGGGAGGGAGTCCCTGAGGGCGTAAGCTCAGCCAGAACCCCCGCAGAGCCCACAGCACAGGGAGCAGTGTTCAGGTGGCCTTTAGATGCTACCAGGGAGATCCGCATGGCCCTGCTGGGAGCCACCCCGCGTGGCGCTCTGCGGAATCCCACCTCGGCCTCTTTCGGCCATCCCTCCTCCCTCCAGAGCTCCTCGTGGCCACGTGAGGGGGTGGGTCTGCTCTCTCAGCCCGGCAGTGGTGTGGGGGGCCCACGGTCAGCACCCAGCCCATGCGCAGGCCCTGCTGCGGTGAGAGGTTGGGAGCTGGGGTTCCAACTGGCTGCCACATGTTCGGTCTGCTCATGTGCCGGGGGCAGTAGGCCAGCCTTGCGTGTTTCTCTAGGCCTGGAGCCTTCTGGAGGAAAGGGCACAGCCTCTTGCTCCCGCAGACCCAGGACCCCTCAAATCTCCTCATTTGCCCCTCCCCCGAGGCCCAGTGAGGCTGCAGGGAGCAGCCAGACCCTGCCAGGGTCCTCAGGGAGACCCCCACCCACAACCCAGACAAGACCCTGCAGGCCAGGCTCTGGGAGGGCTCAGACGGGGCTCAGCGCGAAGGCCCCAGCTGCCTGCACTGGACATGGCGCCACGGCCACTGGCCTGCAGCTCCTGGTGGTGAAGAATTGAGGGTTTCAGAGGGCAAAGGACCAAGGAGGGCATCCAGCGTCCAGTCTCTTCCCCTGAGTGCTGGGGACCCCCAGCACTGACACCACATGGCTCCCCACATTCTGGGAGGCCTCCTCGGTGGGTCCGCCCTGTTGGAGGCATCTGGTCTTGGGGACCCTGTTACCAGTTTGGACCCCTGCCTTTACAGAAACCCCTCCCAGAGGGAAGGGACCACCTGATGTCTGCTGACACCCAGCCCCGCTGGGCAGGCCCCCGGCAGCCCCCCAGTCTTAGCTCCGGCCATAGCTGCCTGGCAGCTGCCCCAGCCTGGGGAGGCCACCCTCGGGCCTGTTGTTCCCCTGCCCACGCAGAGCCGGGGTTCCCTCTCCCGTGCTGTTGAGGGTCCGGGGTCTCTGCTCTGTGCCCAAGACACAGCGGCGTCTTCCTGCAGCCTCTCTGGGCGCTGGGGGGAGAGCGGGGGACACAGACAGTAGGGTTTCTCCCTTCTCGGAAAAATGTCACAATTCCAGGGAGCGACGGTCTCCTTAGGAGCTTCAGCCAGGTGTCCTTTGACCTGTGTCCCGAGTGGGAAGTGAGCCGTGGGAATCGGGTGGGAATCTGCCGCTGTGGGGGCAGTTGGTTCTCGCAGAAAAGCTCTCCAGAATCTGTCGGTTACTGAGCTCCTGACGTGCTTGGTGTGGATTCAGCTGTCGGAAGCGCAGTACTGGGGCTTCTCAGCCGCGCCATCCAGCATCTCGGGACCCCGGGGACCCCTGGGAGGGCGTGGTGGGCGGGGTGGGGGTCGGCCGGGCCTGCTCTGTGACTTTGGCTTGTTTTCCAAAGCCAAGATGGGCGCGTCGGGCGAGGGCACTTGGGAGATAACTGGGCCGGTGTGTGAGGTCACTGTGTTCCAGAAGGTTCCTGCGTGCACTGAGGCCCAGCCGCCTCGCGCGGTGACGTCGTGCTGCTGTGTCCCCACAGGCTCGAAGGAGTCGCTGTTCTCCTGCACCCTGACGGCCAGCGAGGAGGCCATGGCGGTGCTGGAGGAGGTCATCCTGTACGCCTTCCAGCAGTGCGTCTACTATGTGTCCAAGGTAGGGCGCGGCTGGGCGAGTCCTCGCGGCCCTCCTGGGAGTGTGGGGGCCCGGGGGCGAGCGAGGAGCTTTCCCCACCCATCACCCCAGGATTGTGAGCTCTGAACCGGCCGCCTCGGCCCCCCTGAGCCCTGGCCTCTGGTTCCTCCCCATGCTCGCTGGCTGTTACTTGTCGCATGAGCCGTCCCCCCACCTGGGGCCAGCAGTGTGGAGAGATGGGGGGCGGCTGCCCCGGGGAAGATGATTTGAGAGGCGGAATGGACCCGCGGCAGTGCCAGGCTCTTTGCCCTGGGCACGCTGTCCCAGCGCGCTGAGGGGGTGGGCAGCAGCTCGTGGCCCCCAGACCCCGTCAGTCACTGAGCCGGTGTCAGGGTCTCTGGACTCAGGGCCGAGCCACACCTGCAGCTCTGCGCTGTCTGCAGCCTCCTGGCCTGGCTGTCACCTTTCCGAGCCGTGGTTCCCTCTGGACACTGGGTTTTGCAGCATCCTTGGCTGAGCGGGTTGAGGGTCAGCAGGTCGGTGTACAGGCGTCCATCAACGCAGCTGTCACTAGGGGGGGTCCTGCTGATCCAGTCTATTCAGAGACCACATGGGATGGTAATAGTCACCCTACATTCTAAAGAGAGCTCCCAGTTACGGAAGACCCCCTCGAGGTGCCCCTCGCGGTCGCACCCTACAAGGCCCAGCGCTGTGAGGAGGGGTTGTTGGCCGTGAGCCATTGGCCTCTGGAGGGCACTGTGGCCTTTCACCTACCCCTTACCCCACCAGCTGGCCCAGGAGGACCCCAGAGGGTCACTTCTGGAGATTGATTGGCAAAAAGGCAAGCCCAGCGTCCACCCCGTTGATGGTGCTGTTCCTACCTGATCGGGGGGAGCGGGCCTGGCCAGTGGGGAGAGGGACAGCCCCTTCCCTCGTGTGGGCACGGCCAGGGCACAGGCCCTGTGGACCCCTGTGGACCCCCGGGAAGTGCCCGAGCCCTTGCCTACCAGCGAGGAAAGCCCAGGGGGCTTGGAGGAGCCCAGGCCAGGGGCCAGGCAGCAAGGGGTGCCTGAGGGCCCTGAGAGATGTGTATGTGTGCCCTGTGGGCCCTGGTGGCCATCACGGTGACCAGAGCTGCCAGGTAAGGAGGAGCCGCTTATCCCCACCCAGTGCACGGGGCAGGAGAGAGAGTGGGGAGAGGAGGTGCCCCGAGGCAGGCGGCCCCTGCGGGGGGAGCCTGAGGGACTCACTGAGACTGAGGTTTAAGTCGGGTGGATGGTGTGGGTAATTGTCCAGTGGGAAGGAAGAGGCTGGATAAGGCACTTTGGGGACAGTGACTGGAGAAGAAGATGACCCCTATTTGTTCCAAATGGAGTTCAGATGGTGGAGTAAACCAGCAATGTGGTCATGAACACTGGCTGCTGGGGCCCTGTGTTGAGAAGGATTCTGAGGTTGCATCCTGGCTGGCCAGGCAGGAGCCCACTCCTCCGCCCCGCATGCTCTGATCTGCCCTGGGGCCCGAGTGGGGCGTGCACTGCCCTTGACACAGCATCCTGGGGTCCCTTTGTGGGGCACTGGCCGAGTGACAACTGTTTATTTCTGGGGGCCAGCTGTGGATGCCCAGTCGCCCCTGAGAAGAGTGTAAGCACCTGTCGTTCTGCACAGAATGTGGTCCCCTTAGGGGCCTTCCCCCAGGCAGGCGCCTCAACCCCCAGGGAGCTGCATCTGGCTCAGCTCTGGTGAGGGGTGCTCGTGGTGCCGGGGGTGCCGTCCCAGGGGCATCCTGTCCAACAGATGTGGGATGTGGCCGAGCCAGGAGCTCGGGGCCCCGGGCCGGGCTGATGGTGCTGCGTCTGCCTCTCGCCCCCAGACCCTGTACGTTTGCCTCCCGGCCCTGCTGGAGTGCCCCCCTTTCCAGTCGGAGCGCCGGGAGAGCTGGTGCTCGGCCCCCCAGCTGCCCGAGGAGCTGCGGCGCGTCGTGTCCGTGTACCAGGCCGCCCTGGACCTCCTGCGGCAGTTCCGGGTGCACCCCGAGATCGCGTCCCAGGTGCTGGCCTACCTCTTCTTCTTCTCCAGCACTCTGCTCTTCAACCAGCTCCTGGACAGGGGTGAGGGCCTGGGCGGCCGGGGACCCATCCTCCTGCAGGAGATACCTGCATGTTCCCCTTGGAGGCGGGCGCTCTGAGCCCTCGGCGCCCTCCCGACACCGGCTCCGCCAGGGTCAGGGCGTCTTGCTCAGTGGCGGTCAGGGCTGTGCCATGGCGGGGAGGCTGGCTGAGGCCCGGGGAGGAGGACGTGTTGCAGAATGAGCTCCTGCAGGAGCAGGAGCCAGAGGCCCCAGGGTGGGGTGGGGCTGGGGGGTCTGCACAGGGCCCCTGGGGCCTTTCCTGGTCTGTTTTATCCCCACACAGCCCCACAGGCCCTGTGAGAGGGGAGGGGCAGGCTCAGGGAAGTGATGTGACCTTTGACCCTTCCTCGCTGCGCCAAGGCCCAACTCCCCTCCTTGCAGAAGTTCCTCCGTCGCCCTGCCCCGGGCTCAGTGCACCAGAGAATTCCACCCAGGGGCCCTGCTGGGTCCCAGGGGCCAGAGAGTGGGGACGAGTCCACGCTACATGCATGTCGCCAGCATGGACTTCCCAGGCTGGGCTGGGGTCTGCAGGGCTGGAGGGGTGGGAGCAAGGCGTCTTGACTGAAGGCCTGGACCATGCCCCTTTGCTCTGGGGATCCAGTGGCTGTCACAGCCCCTCCCTGCCGTCCCACCTTAACCTCCCGCCTCCTGTGTCTGTCCTCAGAGGCCTGGAGCGGGGGGGGAGGGCAGGTGCTGGGGGCCAGCTGGGGCCCGGCTCCCTCTGGGGGAGGGTGGGCAGTGCAGCTGCTCTGTGAGGAGTGGCCCAGGCAGTGCCCCCCTGCCTCCCAAGGTCCCTCTCTGAGTTGCTTCCACTGGCCCCGAGGCGTCCAGGCCTGCGCCCGCCTGCAGCAGCTCCTGGAGTGGACGCGGAGTGCTGGCTTTGGGGAGGCCGGCGAGCACTTCTTCCGGAAGCTTTCCTGCACGCTCAACCTGCTGGCCACGCCCAGTGCCCAGCTCATCCAGGTAGGAGGGGCGCAGAGAGCGTGGGAGACCCACAAGTGCAGTGGGGCGGAGGGTCGCGGGCCACGTGTTGTCGCTCTTGGGTCACGGGCTTGCACACCAGGCCAGGATCCGGGGACCTGGCTTCTGGGCCTCAGAGAGCTCGCAGAGCTGTTTCCCTTCCCCAGCTGTTCCCACCTGAACAATGGCCCCTAAGTTGTCTGTGTCTAGTCCCTGACCTGTGGCTGTGTGACCCACATGGCCCAGGGGCTCTGCAGGTGTGATTAAGCTTCAGGACCCTGAGATGAGGAGATTGCCCCTGGTGACCCCGTGGGCCCTGTGTAGTCACGAGTCCTTAAAAGTGGAGGCGGGAGGCAGAAGAGGGGGTCAGAGAGACAGGACAGAGGAAAAAGAGGGCTCAAGCCGCTGCTGCTGGCTGTGTTCTTGGAGGAAGGGGCCGTGGCCAAGGAGCGCAGCGGCCTCCACGAGCTGGGGACGGCCCTCAGGCGAAGGCCAGCACAGAAACCTGGACCTCGGTCGTACAGCTTCAAGGAACTGAATTCTGACAACCTACATGAGCCGGGAAACGCATCCTGCCCTGGAGACCCCGGAAGGAACGCAGCCCTGCCCATACCTGGATTTTAGCCCTGTGCAACCCGTGCTGGATGTCTGATCCCCAGAGCTGTAAGATTAGATGTCTGTGTGGCTCGTCATTTGTGACAACAGCAACAGGCAGCTAGTGTGTCACCTCCCTCACCAGCCGCCCGACACAGTCCTCCCAGAGAATCAATGAGCCGAACCAGTGGTATTCCTTTCCTGCCTGGCATGGACATGGATGGTGCCCCAGGAGTGATGGTGATGGGGTTTGCAGGGCAGCCCAGGATGAAGCCTGCACTCTGGGCCACCTGGGAGTGAACATTTGAACCAAACGGGTCATGTAGCCCATCTGCCGTCTCCAGGCAAAGTCCTGAGCCGACTGCAGTGTAACCAGCGTCACGTGATCTTCACGAGGGGACAGAGGACCTTCCAGTTTGGTATAAAAAGTGGAGCACTCCACCTGTGCCCCAGGAGCAGAACAGAAAGTCTCATCGGTGTCTCGTCACTGCTGTGACCAGTAGCAGCCAGAGCTGCGGCCAGTGAGCGTCTGCGGGGTGCGAATGGCGCTCCTTTACCCTCACAGCCACCTCGGAGGGAGGCTGCTGGTGACTCTGCTTCCTGGTGGCCAAGCGGAGGTCACACAGCCTGGTTCCAGGAACCGTTGACCCTTCAGCAGATATTCAGAATCCACCACGCATCAGGAACTGTATGTCTTGCTCAAGTGTCTTTTTTTTAAGTTACTAATTTTTTTAATTCTAAAAGGGAAGCACGGATTCACTAGAGAAAATTCAGAGACAGGGGACGTCTGGGGAGGGATCGCAGATTGAACATGAATTCAGTTTGCTTTCTCCCCAACCGTCACTAAACCAACGCACAGCCGAGCTTTGTAATGGCAGAGCCAGTAAGGACGGAGAAAACGGAGAGGGCGCAGAAACGACGTTTGGAGGCTGGAAGCAGAGGGCTGACTGGCACCTGCCTCGGCGGATCTGAGAGGCAGCCCCGTGTACCACGCAGCCACTGACGGGCTCAGGGAGCACGAGTGCCGGGTGCCTCTGGAGGCCGTGGTGGGGGTGGCCGAGGCGGAGGAGGAGCGCCAGGGACCTTGTGGAAAGCTCTAACGCCCTGGCTGCCCGGTGGGTCCAGTTGCTTGGGGTGAGGCTGTGCCTGTGCTGAGGGAGGAAGGAGGAAGACGACACATGAAGTCCTGTATCAGAGGGCCCCTGAAGCAGTGGGACGGAGGGGGACTGAGCCGCTGAGGGGCCCCAGGAGCTCGCCTGTGCTGCCTTTCCTGTGGGGCACTGGCATCGTCCAGGGCAGGATCTGTGTGAGGCCGAGGATCCAGGCTTCATCCAGGCAGGGGCCGGAGCTGGGGAGGAGAGCCCGCACAGCCGTGGCCACCTCATGGGCCAGAGAGACAGACGCGAGGTACTTGAGGGGCCTGAGTTGTGTGGTGGTTTCCCCTCATGACATGTGCCGAAATTCTGAAGCTCCAGGGCCTGGGATGGGAAGGGCTTTGTTGAAAGCAGAGTGGAACTGTGGTAGTCTCACAGTGCCGAGGAGCAAGTGTTAGTGTTCAGGACTCTGAGGGAGTGAGCACCAGGCTCTTGGCTGAAACCCTGGCAGCAGCATCAAGCAGAGACCAAGCTGCCCAGCGCAGCCCCCACCGGGTCCAGGTGGTCAGTGGCAAGGAAGATGCACACCACCAAAGCCTGTAGGTGCAGCTAAAGCAGTGCCAAGAGGAAAAGTTATAGCCTTAAGTGTCTATCTTAGAAAAAGCAGAAGGCTGAGGATGATGGTTGTGAAGCAAGAAAAAGTACAGCAAATCAAACCCAAGAAAGTACTAGAGAAGAGCCAAAATCAACGAAACAGTAAACACGCATACAACAGAGAAAAGCCAAATGCAGGGAGTGGGTTCTTTGAAAAGCTATTTAAACAGTTGAATAAAAGTTTGAAAAAACCAAGAGAGCCAGGAGTTGGTTCTCTGAAAAGTTTAATAAAAGTGGAAAACACTAACTGCCATATCAAAAATGAAGACGGTGACATCATTCAGATCCTACATTAAAAATTAGTAGCAATAATTTTATCTCAATAAAACGGGGAAAGTCTCTTTAAAGATTAATGGAGGATATTAAGACCAACTTTATGCTGATAAATTTGACAATTTAGACGAAACAAATAAGACAAAGAACACTTATTAAACTTGCTACAAGAGGAAATAGAAAATCTGAATTGTCCCGTATCTCTTAAAGAAACGGAATCTGTTATTTAAAAACCTCCCCACAAAGAAGATTTGAGGTCCAGATGGTTTCATTGCTGAATTGCTTTAAACATCAGAGGGAGAAGTAAAACCGTTATTACCCAAATTCTTCCAGAAACTAGGAAAAGAGGAAATCCCATCTCATTTTAAAACGCCAGCACAACCTTGATACCAGAACCTGAGAAGGAACCATACGAAAGGGAAATTACACACGAGAGATGAGCAGCTTTGCTCATCATCAGAGAAATGTCTCTCAAAACCACAGTGTTTTCCACACCAGAGACATCAGAATGGTTAAGATGAGAAAAGCCGGTACCATGCCCCCTGAGGAGGGTGCCCATGGACCGCACTGTGGGGGGCCGTGGGCAGTGCTGGAGCCGACCACAGGCACACACCCCACCCGGCACTTCTCCCGGTGGGCCTGCTTCTGTCTGCACTTGACACAGCGGGCAGGGATGGCACAGCAGCGCTGTCACAGCTGCCCCGACTGCCAGCCACCCCCGCTCCGCAGCAGCGTCGTGGATAAGTACGTGGTGGGACGCTCACTCCCAGGGCGTGCTGCCCGGAGCGGGCATGTGGCGGCCACTGTCACAGGCAGCAGCAGGCGCATGTGAAGCTCAGTGTTAAACCAGAGTCGGGCTCAGAGGCGCAGTGCCAGGTGCCCGTGGTCCAGAGCTGGAGCCGGGCCCAGCACCCCTGTGCTGCTGGAGGTTAGGACAGAGCCTGCCCCACAGAGGCCGCCGGGGCTGCTGCCTGGGCTCTGCCCTCGCCCTGGGCTGGGGACACAGGCGGTGCCCTTTGCGAACACTTAGCGAGCTGTGCACCCCGGAGCCGTGTAGTTCACTGGATGTTGCGCTTCCACACATAACACATAGGACCGGGGAGAGACAGCCGCAGCGGGCTCTCGGCTGCCCCTTCCTGTGCAGCTGGGGGCTGGCCCCGCCTCACCCCAGCAGAGGACCGGGGCTGGTTTTTAGAGCCTTGAAGACAAAGGGTCTGCCTGCGGAAGTCGGGACCTCGTCCTGAAACAGGGGGCTTCCCAGTGGCTAGGTGCCCACCGAGTGCTGGAGTGGCCACCCGCTTGCCCCGCGTGGCTCAGGCCTGTGCCCGCCAAGCAGGAGGCGGCTGACTCGGCCAGCCTGGCGGTCAGGGACAGCCCAGGGGAGGACGGAGGACGCTGACACTGGGGCTTCACAGCGAACCAGCCAGGCCGGGGTGAGCTGAGCGGGCCTGGGGGCCAGGCCGGGGCTCAGGCTGGGCGCTGCCAGGCTGACTTGGCCCCCGCTCTAAAACAGCGTGAACTGCCTCCAGCACGAGAGACAGAAGTGGGAGCGAGGCTGGAGGAGACGCAGGAAGTCGGCACCCTTCTCCTGCAGGGCCGGGTACTACCTGTGTCAGGCTGCGGGCCACATGTGGGCTTCGTCCAAGATTCTTCTTTGTTTTTTTTAAGCCCTTTAAAAATGTGAAAACCATTCTTAGCCTGAGGGCCCTATACAAATAGGCCTCAGGCCCTGGTGTGCCTCCCCTGAAGCAGACTATTCAGAAGAAACTTAAAAAAATTTATGTTCTCATAAAGATAAGATATATCCATAAAGTAATCACAGGATTCTATAAATGAGAGAACAAAAAGAATTCTTGGAAATTAAAACTATGACAACAGGGGGCCAGCCCCGTGGCCGAGTGGTTAAGTTCGTGTGCTCCGCTTTGGCGGCCCAGGGTTCTGGCGGTTCGGATCCTGGGCGCGGACATGGCACCGCTCATCAAGCCATGCTGAGGGGGCGTCCCACACAGCACAGCCAGAAGGACCCACAGCTAGAATATACAACTATGCACTGGGAGCTTCGGGGAGGAGAAGAAGAAGAAAAAAGTATGACAGCAGAGGTGACACATTCAGTAGCAGGGTTGGAAGATAAAGGCAAGGAATCTCCCGGGAAGCAGAGAGATGCTGAGATGGAAGTGGGAGGCGCTCAGATGGTGGCGTCCTCCCGACACCAGCCCCGGAGACGTGGGGGAAGCGAGGATTCTAGGACCTGGAGAAATCACAGAGCCTCCTCCCGGCCAACAGGGCTTCCTGAACTATTGGGGTAGTGGGGGCCCCAGGGGCTGTCCTCGCCCCTGCCCCACGCAGCCTTAGGATGGCGATTGTCCCTTCAGTGTAGATGGCTGATAAGCACAGCACAGGCCTCTTGATGTTGGCAGTGAAATCAATGGAGGGAGAAATGAGAGAGAGAGGAAGAAAGGCAGGAAAATTAAAGGACCAATCAGTGAGGCCCAACGTCCAAACAGCAGGAGTCCCCAGGGAGCAGAGGAACCAGTGGCGAAGGGTGAAGATAAACCAGACCATTCCAGACCCGCAGGGCCTGAGCTGCCAGAGGGAAGAGCAGCCAGTGGGGGAAAGCACAGCGGCCGAAGCGGACTCCCACCCAGGCCAGCCTCAGGGACTCAGGGCAGGGCACGCAGAGCTGAAGGGGACTGCCACCCAGGCCAGCCTCGGGGACTCAGGGCAGGGCACGCAGAGCTGAAGGGGACTGCCACCCAGGCCAGCCTCGGGGACTCAGGGCAGGGCACGCAGAGCTGAAGGGGACTGCCACCCAGGCCAGCCTCGGGGACTCAGGGCAGGGCACGCAGAGCATCCCCGAGGCTCCCCTCCAGAGAAGAGAACCAGACCCGTCCCAAGGATCGGTGGTCAGAATGTTCCCGACGGCTCAGGGGCAGCACGGGAAGCTGGAAGACAGGAGCCGCCTTCCAGGATCGGAGCGAGTCAGCCTCCGGTCTGCAGGTGTGGACCAGCCACGTTGTCACGGAGCGTGACAACAGAGTGGGGACGCCTCACCACACACGAGGCTCCTGGTGCTCCTCCAGCGCATCCTGTTTGGGAAGCTCCTAGAGGCTCTGTCTCAGAAATGAGGGGGTAAGCTGAGAGAGCGTGAAAGGGGGTCCAGAAAACAAGACAGGAGAGGGGTCCCAGGATGACGGGGCGACGTCGCAGGGTGACTGCACCAGTATAATTAATGATATGCGTCCACCCTTCTCCTCCGGCTCGCACTGTCTGTCCTATTTAAGAAAGCTTTCCGCATCCTGGGCTCGGAAAGCCAGGCTCGAGTGTCAGCTCGATGACTCAGTTCTTGCCTCTACGCAGGGCTCTAACCTACTTGGTTTCCCTTCCGAGGTACGAGGCCAGGATCCTATTTCATCTCCACTTTCCCCGAGTCTCTTCCCTCACTTCTCGGCCATGAGAGGTGATGTGATGAGGGGCGGGTTTGGTGATCCGGGCACTCGGGGTGGTGCCCGCTAGCCTCTCCCGGGAACGGCCACTGGACGCCCACGAGGCAGTGGGGGTGAGCTGCCGCTGTGGGGCGGCCCCACTGCACTGACCTTGCCCCCTCATTGGCCTCACTGTCCTGTGCGGACACTAGGGGCCCGTGTGCTGGCCTGGAGCGTGTGGTCCAAAAGCCCCAGAGCACCGGAGGGCAGGCCCTCCCTGGGGTGGGGCGGTGCCCCCCCGGGGCCTTTGACCATGAGCTCCTTCTTGTCACCCAGATGAGCTGGGCAAACTTGCGGGCCGCGTTCCCCGCCCTGAGCCCGGCGCAGCTGCACCGGCTGCTGACTCAGTACCAGCTGGCCTCGGCCATGGGCCCCATGAGTGCGTGGGAGCCGGGTGCCCAGGACAGCGCTGATGCCTTCAAATCAGGTGAGCCCCCTCCTCGGGGCAGGAGCAGGGCGCCCTGGGGCCGGGGCGGGGGCAGGGGAGCCTCTGGGGGGACTTCCCTGGAGGTGCCCCCAGAGCATCTGGCACCTCTGCCCTGGGCCATCTGCCTCCTCGGTGCCCTGCCCTGTCCCCTACCTGGGGACCTGCGGACCTCCACAGCTGGGGGTCAAGGAGCCCACAGTTCATGGCCAGGTTCCAAGCTGCAGGCTCAGGTCAAAGGTCCCCCTCGCCCCTCATCCAGTCTGAGGCTGGGGCCTGACCCCATGCCCGGCCCACGAGGAAGAGAACGGGGTCCACACCGGGTGGCATCGCGCAGGCTGAGCACGCTTGCCACATAAGACACACGCGACACATGTGGATCCGGATGGACGTATATACGGGTGTACTTTCATAAGTTAGACACCCGCCTCTATCATTAGCATTACACACATCATAACAGGCACAGTGGGAAATTAAAGGGCCGTAGAAGATACAGACAGGACCAGGCTTCAAGTGCCTTCTTTGCGTGCCTGGGTCACCTGGGGCTTGGGTGGGACACAGACACTGTCTCTGAGGAGGACACTTGGGGCCCTCCCCATTTACGGGGTCATTTCCGAGGCCCGTGCAGGGCCGGCTCTGGGCCGAGCCGAGGACGCAGTGTGGGTGCCAGTTGTGCTGTCTGGAAGGTGCTCACGTTTGTCCAGAGATCCCCGTGCACACGGGCCGTGTGACCTGAGCGGGGATGTAGTCAGCATGGGCTCTGGGAGCCCCAGGAGGCGCAGCGTCGGCTCGGGGCGCAGAGGTTCAGGCTGAGCGACCTCAGGTGCCGCGCGGCCAGCAGGAGCTGGGGGAGTTGGGGGTGGGGCACAAGCTCCAGGTGGCAGGGCCTTGGGCTTCCTCCGGGGTGGTCACTGAGGTTCAGTAGGGACGAAAGCACAGTTTGGGTGGGTCACCCTGGCCTGGATGCCCCCCACCCATCTCCTGGGTAGGTCAACCTGCTGGTCCCTGGGTTCCCACGGCGTCGGGGGGGCAGGAGCATCTGGGCAAGCGAGGGGTGGGCAGCTACCCCTGGGCCGGGCCCTCAGGCTGTCCCCGTCCCCACCGCAGAGGATGTCCTGGAGTCCTATGAAAACCCCCCGCCCATCGTTTTGCCGAGCGAGGGCTTCCAGGTGGATCTGGAAGCCGACTGCCCGGACGACAGCATCTACCAGCACCTTCTCTACATCCGCCACTTCCTCTGGAGCCTGCGGAGCAAGCCCGGCCCCGGCGGGGGGCCTCCCCAGCCCGAGGGCCTTGAGGTACCGGCCGCCCCCGGGGCGGAGCTCAGGGGGGCTCTGGGGCTCCAGGGCCCCGGGAGTTCTGGGCGCTTTAGGTACGGCTGCCGCAGGCTGGGGCTCTCAGGTCTCCCCCCGCGTGGGAAGGCTGCTGCTTAGCCCTCCTCCTCTCCCACCAGGGCCCGCACCACCCCGCCCCTGAGGGGCACCCCGAGGGCCAGAGCTGCCCCGTGGCTTCCAGGGACCCCGGGAGGGGAGCCCGGGACGCTGGCCTGGTGCACCCGCTGCCTTCTGCTGTGGCTCCCCGGGCACAGGGCCCTCCGGGAAGGCAGCCTGGCCGCGTGAGCCGTGGGGGCCCCCAGGCCGGCCCCCCGCACACGGACTCCTCGTGCCTGCTCACGCCGCCCAGCACCCCACTCGGCCTCGAGCCCGCTGTCCCCGACTGGCCAGAGCCCGGCGGTGGCACCCGTGGGAACTCGCCCCTGGAATGGAGGAGGAACGGGCCCAGCGGCTCCCGCGGTGCCGCTCTGGAAGGTGAGGCCCAGCCCCTGGCCCCTCCCGGCTCCTGGGCAGGTCCTTCTGGGTCACTCCATCGCAGGGGCCTGGTGCACACTCAGCCTGGGCTTCCAGTACCTGCCACGAATGCCGGCAGCCCTGGGCGCCAGTCAGAAAGGCTCCAGGGCCCACAGGAGGGCGCAGGGCCGCTGGGCCACACGCAGCCGTCCGTCCGTGGGACTAAGAGAGTGGCTCCGCACAGGGCAGAGGAAGGGGACCCAGGTGATGTGTGCTGGGCTTCAGAGAAGATGCAAGGGCCAGGGATCCAAGGAGGAGGGGGAGGCAGGCCCGGAGCCCTCTGGGGGTGGAGGACCAGGAGGCAGGGTGAGTGTGTGTGGCTGTGTATGGGCATGTGTGCATGAATGTGTGCAAGTGTGTGTGTCTCTTGTGTGTGCACGTGCAGCTGGACGGGCTGGAAGGGCAGCGAAGGGCGGAGCAGCCCCTGGGCCCATGGTCCCAGGCACGGAGCTCGGTAGCGCGTGCTGACCCCTGCGTCCTCGGTGCTCCTGCAGAGGCGGGAGCAGCAGAGCTGGCGTGCTGGGCCTGGAGCCCCAGGGCTGTCGGGAGGTGGCTCCACACCACACCCGGCTCTGCCTGATGCCCTGAGCAGAGCCCACCTCTCAGCCCCCTGGAAACAGCCGGCCTGGCCTGGGGCAACCGCAGGGGGACGGAGGGGCCACCCACAGATGGGCCCAACCCTGTCACCGACGTTCTGCCCCAACGGGCACCTTGCTGGGGCTATGAGAGCACTGTTCCCTCCGGAGCAGCCGCCGAGCAGGACGTCCCTGGGTCCTGACTCCTGGGACAGGCGCTGGCACGGCTGCCACAGCAGTCTCACCCACTGCACTGTTTCCCGCCCCCAGGAGGCTGTGCGGCGCCTGCAGACGAGCCCCCTCCAGTCCCCTCCAGCTGCAGCTCTAGCACAGATGACTTCTGCTACGTCTTCATGGTGGAGCTGGAGCGAGGCCCCTCAGGGCTGGGGATGGGCCTAATTGACGGCATGGTGAGTGGCATCGCCGCTCCCTGCAGGCCCCCGGCTCTTCCTGCTACCAAAGATAGGCCCACAGTGGCGTGGTCGCCGGGGAGGAATGTGGGCAGGCCCACCGAGGGCTTGGCACTGGGGTCCTTGGGGGGGAATCTCCGCATAATTTGAGCAAAGGGAAAGGTTCCCAGGCAGCAGCTGCTTCCCCCAACCTTTCATCTCCGCCTCCATCCTCAGACCTCGGGGTGTCTGTCCTGGGCCTTTGGGGACAGTGATGGCGTCCAGTGCTGTCCTTGCAGACCCACTGATGACCACATGAGTGAGCCCTGCCTTGGCCAGGCCAGGCCTCTCGGCCAAGGAGGGGACTGAGGTGGCCTTAGCTGGAACACCAGCATGTCCTGAGGCCTGTGCTTCTCCCCAGCACACGCCCCTGGGGGCCCCCGGGCTCTACATCCAGACCCTGCTCCCGGGCAGCCCTGCGGCGGCCGATGGCCGGCTGTCGCTGGGGGACCGCATCCTGGAGGTGAACGGCAGCAGCCTGATGGGCGTCAGCTACCTGAGGTACTTCCCCGCTCACAGCTCAGCCAGGGCAGGGCCACCGCTGGCCCAGCCTGGCTTACTCCTCCCCATCCCGGGAGAGGTCCTGCCGTTACCCTAGCATTCTAGAGAGGAACAAGGGAGGAGCCTCTGGCCTGGCTCCTTGAGGCCGCCTCTCCCTTCCCTGCCCTCGTTCCGGGGGGCGGGGGGCTCTGGACCAGGTGGCACAAGCTGCACCTCATGGATCTGTGATTCCTGCTGCTGTCACAGCTCAGGGGGCCCAGGGCTGCTGACTCTAAACACGTCGCCTGTGCTGTAGGAGCACCACACCCCTCCTGGAGGGAGGGAAGCAGGCGATGGCCGGGCCCTCACACACAGCCCAGGGTGACAGCTGGGGGTGGAGGGCGGGGTCCCCTCCGGAGGCTTGCCCACCCAGGGGCCGGCCCAGCCCCAGTGAGCTCATCTAGCCGCCCTCTGCCCCTCGCTGGGTTGCAGGGCTGTGGACCTGATCCGGCACGGCGGACAGAAGATGCGGTTTCTGGTTGCCAAGTCGGACGTGGAAACAGCCAAGAAGATCCGCTTCCGCCCACCCCCTCCCTAGGTGGCCCTGCCCCTGCGCCCCGAGGCTCGACCTGGCCGCCACCTCCTCCAGCTGGTCCCTGTGGTCCGTCCGTCACCTTCAGCACGGGCCGCTCCTCGCCCTGTGGATAATGTACATCTCAGTGTATATTTTATTTATATGACGGGTGACAGTCGTGCTGTTTGTTACAGAGCTTTATGTTTGGAGATTTTAATGGAGAAGCATAGATTCAATAAACTATCTTTCATATTCCTAGAGTGTGGCAGCATGCCAGCTCCCCTAGGGCCCAGAGGGGCTCCGGGGCTCCGGGGGACCCACTCCCCTGCCGGCCAGGGCAGGAGAGACCCCAGGAGGACACGAGGATCATTGTAATGGAGCCTGGGGGACACCCCAGGAGAAGGGCTGGAGCCCCCAGGCAGAGTGTAGTTTGTCTTGGTAATCACGTGCTCAGCACAGTCCTGAGAGGTTCCAGAAACCCCCGGAAGGTTCTAAGTGAGAGTTCGGACCCTCCCGGATCCCCAGGCCTCACGCCCCTCCCGATTCCCTCTCATCACTAAAGCTGCAGCTTGGCCCTAATACCAGGCTGGCCGGCCCCAGGCTCTTAATCTGCTGCCTGGCTGGCGTCCACCTGGTGGCCGCCCCTTCACCCCGGCAGAAGGCCCACCCCCTCCGCCAGCAGGCAGCCATGCGCATGGCCGGGGGCAGGGCCGTGTTGGCGTCAGGGTGATGGCGTGGCTCAGACACCTCCACCCTGGGCATCTTCAGTTCGGTGGCCCACATGTGGACGGCGCCCGAATTCTCCTCACAGTGCTCAGATCTCGCGGCCGGGCTCTGGACCAGGGTCCTCCCCTTTGACATGAATAGAGAGACCCTGGGGACCAGGGGGTCCCGGCCAGTCAGCTGCAGACGCACCCCTCACGTGGAAAGGGCCTCCTGGAGCAGCCCGGCTGCGAGGAGCCATGTCGGAGTTCTGTCCCAAGCCTGGACCTGCAGCTCGGTGCTGCCCCTGCTCACGCTGGAGAGAGGCACCTGCGTGTGGGCCTTGGGCTTTCGTGGCAGTTCCACTGAGGCACCAAGATTGCAGCCACCACTGAGTTCCCAAAATGCTGGATAAAATGCATCTTTTAAAAAGTCATTTTGAACATATCATTGAACTCAAAAGAAAAGAAAGCCTTAGAACCCAAATTGAAAAGATGGCCCAAGTCGAGAGAGGCTGGCAGTGGGCCAAAGGCCTGTGGAATTCGTGGCTACAATTCTCCACTCCTCTGCCTGGTGGAGGTGACGGGGGCTCAGCCGTCCCAAGCTGCAGGCGAGTGGGGGACCCCGTAACTCCCGAGTGCCCGAAGGGCTGGGCCCCGAGAAAGGGGACCTGAGCAGAGCTCACGTGTGCAGAGCACGCCTGGCGCTTCACGGGTGTGAACACACTCAGGGCGCACGGCAGTTCTCTGTGGTGGCGGGTGCTGTGACTGTCCCCATCTTTCAGACGAGGACACCAGAGCAGGGGGCTGTGGTCGTCTCCCTCAGTCAGCATCCTCACAGTAATGCTGCCAGAAAAACCACACAGCTCGGCGTCTGAAAACAGCGTGTCCTCTCGCTCAGCGGCTGGAGCTGGCTGCACCGGCCGGGGAGGGGAGGCCAGGGCTGTCCCCACGCGGCCTGTCCTCTTGGACCTACAGGTGGCAAGGACTAGAGGGCAGGAAGGCAAGCCCGCCACCAAGCACATTTCAAGCCTCGGTCCCTTCTGCTGCCTCCTGATGGCCAAGCCCACGGCCAGTGGGCGGGGAGGCATCTCCCCCAATGGGGCCGCTGCGCGCGGGTGTGGACCGCACCGCGCCCCAGGGGAGGGAACACGGACACCCGTGATTCATCTTCCTCTTGGTAGGAGCGAACCGCCACAGGGTTTGAAGTCGGGCTATTTGACTCTGAACCGAAAGTCGGCCCTCAAAGGAAATGGGAAGGGAGAGTTTCTGGATGGGCCTTGGCTGTCTTCACAAACGAGTTCTGATGCGGGCTTGCGAGCCAACGTACAATCATCATAATCTGAAAACACCCCAAGTCGAGCTTAATTGAAAGTAGCTCCCCAGGCATCTGGCACAAGCGACAGAGTTATCTCCAGATGAACAGACCTCAGTCCCGAGGGCCGTGCAGGGTCGGGCGGGCCGGGGTCTGCGCGTCCGGGGCACGCGGCGCGGGGGCTCGCAGGCCGGCGCCGCCGCATCCCGGGAGGGTCCGCGGTCCTAGGGAGCTGCCGCACCGGCGCTCGCCTGCTCGGCCCCGCGCGCCTCACCCCACGGGACGCCGGGCAGGGCAGGGGCGGCGCTCCCCGCCAGCTCCGCGGTCACCGCGGGCCCGGCCCACCCGCCTTCTCCGCCCCCGCCTCTTCCCCGCGCTTCCTAGGAGCCACGCGGCGGGGGGGCGGGGCGAGGGGCGGGGCGGGGCCTGGGGCGGGGGCGGAGCCTGGGGCGGGGCCAGAGCCGGGCGGGGCGCGAGGCTGGTGGTGCAGCAGCACCACCTAGTGGCCGAGGCCGTCCCCGCGCCGGGCGGCTCTGATCCACAGGCGGGAAGCGGACTCGACCCCCAGTGGATGGAAGCGGTGGGGCCGGGGCCGGGGACACGCTTCTTGCCCTTCCACACCCAGCGGGTCTGCCCCGCTTGGATATTACCAAAGCGACCCGGCTCGGCTCTGGACCAGGCTCGCGGCCGCAGGTGTCAGGGGCTCCGTGAGCCCCACCGCGGGAGCACCCCCCCTTGGTTGGCCTGCCCTCCCTCCTAGTGGCAGGAGGCTGCAAGGCCTGCAGAGGTGACAGCCACCCTGCAGGTCTCGGAGCTCCAGCCTTGCATCTTCAGGTCATTCAGGAACTCGAGGAGGTGACTGAAGAACACTGAGCGAACGCATTTCCCCAGGGGTAGCGAGCACCTCTGGGAGACTCACGCTCCTTTCCTCCTGACAGCCTGTCTCAGTGAGCTGTTGTTTCTGGGACATCGAGGACACCAGGGTGGCCTTACGCGTCGGCACTGAGTGGGAAGGGACAGCCCCAGGGCGTCCAACCTGGCCGCGCGAGGGCCCCTGACGTGCCCACAGCCAGCTCTCCGGGCCCAGCAGCACGACCCACACCCGGCCCTCTCCCCTGGGTGCAGGGAAAGGGAACAGCCTTGCCTTGTTCATGCAGATCCTTGTTAAAGGGGATTTATTTTTGCTGTACCTCTTCTGGCCCCCAACTGCCCCCAGACAAGGAACAGCAGGACACAGACCAGGCAGCTGCCGTCCAGCTAAAGCCACGAGTCAGAGCTGTCGCACCACACAGCTCAGCATGTCACAGGAGAAAGGGTTTACAGACACAAGCACCCATGCGTGTGCACGGGACAGCCCCGCCCAGCACTGAGGACCAAGACCCCCCAGCCTCCTCCCTGGGCCTAACGCCCTCCTCATTTCCTCTCGGATCACAAAGCCTCAGCCTGCCCTGATTCAGGCTCTCAGTCCTGGTGGCCGTCCTCTCACCCCGGCAGGAGGCCCGCCTCCTTCTCCGCCAGCCGGCTGACGGTGCACAGGGCCAGGGGCAGGGCCGTGTTGGTGTCGCGGTGATAGCGGGGCTGGGACACCTCCACGCTGGGTGTGAGCACGAACTGGGCCACGCTGGGCATCTTCAGCAGGTTCAGCAGCTCGGTGGCCCGCGTGCGGACGGCGCCCGCGTCCTCCTCACCGTGCATGGAGCTCGTGGCCGGGCTCTGGGCCAGGGTCCTCATCTTTGACAGGAACAGAGAGACCCTGGGGACACGGGGGGCCCCAGGCCAGTCAGCTGCAGACATACCCCTCCCGTGCAAAAGGGTCTTGTGGAGGGGCCCAGCCACCCGAGACACCCAGCTAGTGTGGCTTTAGCTCGGGGAAGTGGGGTGACAGTGCTGACACAGCCCACGCCACCTGCGCCCACCGGAACCTTGTGCTGCTGACCCTGTGTCCGGGCGCCTGGGCCAGGGCAGACCCCTGATCCCTTGTGCTTTCCCCATGGGGACCCTGACCGGTACCTGGGGATCAGGTCTTGGCTCCGGGAGGCCAGCTTGGTCAGCGTTGTCATGAGCACAGTGATGACCTGGGGTGGACACTTGGGCAGGGTGGCAGAGGGGCGGGACTGGGTGACCTCGAACAGCAGGGCCTCCAGGCCTTCAAAGAACTTGTTGATCTGCTCCACGGTGCAGCGCCGGTCCCAGGACACCGAGAGGTACTCGCCGATGGCCCACACCTGCGGGGGCACAGCGCCTCAGCCCCCGGCCGGGCCTCTGGGGTTGGGAGAGAGCCGGGCGGCAGCAGGGTGGCCTTACCACGGAGGTCAGCATGCTCCCTGTGCTGTGGATGCCGCGCCCGCTGCCCACGAACTCCAGGAGCTCCTTCGCCAGCTCGACCACCAGGGAGGGGTGCAGCTTGCACAGGACCAGGAACTGGGAGCTCAGCACCCTGCCGGGAGGACACTCGTGGGCTGCGGCAGGCCCCTCGAGACCCCAGACCCACGGCCCCCCATCCAGAACAAGAAACAGGGGCGGACAGGACAGCCTCGTTCGGCCCCTGAAGTAACCTATGGCCCACTGGGAGGAGGCTGGGCCGCTCTGTACTCAGTCCAAGGCCCGAGATGGGAGTGGGGACATGCCTGCTTGTATCAGGCCCTCAGAAAGGGTCACAGATGGTCTGAAAACCTCCACGGAAGAGGGACTTAGGCCAGTGCTGAAGATAACAGGCTTGAGAGAGGAGGGACGGACACAGGAACATTCTGGATTGGGAACAGGGGAGTCTGTGCAGTGACCCAGGAAGCACCCGGGCTGGGTCTGGGGGGGGTGCTGGGGGTGGCAGGATGTGAACTGCTGGGGACAGCTGGAAGAGGGGCCGAGGCCCCGCCCAGGGAGAGCGGTGCTGCAGTGACCCCAGGGAGAAAGCGGGGAGTCGGGGCTGTGCCGAGCAAGTTGTGGGGTCAGGGAAAGCTCCAGGGCCGTGGCCCTCGAGCTGTGGGAGGGGTGAAGCCTCACAGGCCGACAGCGGGGACACACCTGTGTACTCGGGCTTCGTACTGGGGGACCTGGAAGAGTGAGTCGCTTCTCTCCAGGAGCAGCAGTGCCAGCTGGGTAGTCAGGGCCCCGTCGGCAAACTGCGGTCCAGAGCGAGAGGCCGGCTCAGTGCCACCCCAGCCAACAGCATCTTCTGCCGCAGCCACTCTGGCCCTGGCTCTTTCCGCCCGCCCCGGGGCTGCTCACGTGCCCCCTGTCTGGGG